TTTGTCCCCTGTGTTTTATAAAATTACAGTTTTGGCTTTAATTGTCCTTATTAAGATCTCTTATGTTAATATTTCTTAAATATCCTTCCATGCACAGACATCGCCTAGTTATAAAATTAAATTATATTAGTAAGATTACTAATATAATAAAAATGACTTTATTCGTGAACTCACGTACCGACGAACGACTAGATGTTATGTAGACAGCTTACATATTTGATTTACGGGTCAGTAAACAATTTTTTGCTCTGCATATAAAAATAACAGCTTCGTCTGTCACAAAATTAAAACGCAAGACTCATGTAAACTTTTTTTTAATGCTACTTAGAATGGCAAACAAACTGACGGCCCACCTGATGGAAAGTGGTAACCGTCGCCTATAGTCATGAGTAGCACTATGGATATAACAGAGTATACTGTTTCGCCCATGATATCCCCATGCGTTGCCATTCCTGAGGACTCAGGTGTTATTCCTCCGTACCCAGTAAATTCACGCAATATCCCACCCTTCAAACCGAAACACAGCCATGCAAACACAACTGTTTTACGGTTGAAACACGGGTAAAACTAGTATTGCTTACACCTTGTAAATTGTACAAAGAATGATAAAAATTGGTTCAGAATTGATGACGTAATCAATATAAAATAACGACAATAAATCAGATGCATTGATTCCTTGTTGAAGTATCTTAGCAATTATATTGTTTTACGCCAGCACTTATACAAATAAATAGTACTTTTGACCCTACATCTCACAGTAATACTCGTATATTGAGAAAGATTGATAATATTTCAACATAAAAACACAGGGTCTCACTATTGATAGTATAAAAAAACCGATTGCGGTTTTTCATTGGACAGCAAGCCTTTTACAACCGCCTTCAAAAAAAGAAGGTTTGCAATTCAGTTGTATTTTCTATTTTATCTTCGCTATCTTATAACTCTGTCAGTTATAAAGCGATTTAGAAAAATATTTTTTTATCTGAAAGGTTTTCTGCCTGAAAAAGCCTGTCTTTCAATTATAATAATATAATAAATAGATAAAATCATATCTCTTAAATACAAAATACAATAATAATAATAATAATTAATAAATAGATAAAATCATATGTCTTAAATACAAAGTAAATATAATTTAAAGAAAGCTATTGCCTGCAGTTAATACATATCGCAAATAGTTTGTACCACCATATTGCTATAAAGAAAAGAGTAGGCGTTTTGATTAACTTTTAATACAAGGTGGATCATGCTACGCTCTGTTCAAATGTTAAGAAACTTATAGTCCACCCTGTAATTAAAAAAAAAACCAGTCGCTGTAAAATATTGATCAATTCTAACATTTGATTTATTTTAATTTCATGTAAGTTTAAAAAAAAACTAAGAAATACGTGGATATAGAATAGTGGAATAGTCATATGTAACCCTATTAGGTGGAATTCCACGCGGTTCCCCCTGGAAACCATCGTGGTTAATTCTCACGGAACTCTTCACGATGGGCTAACTGAACTGCTGTCACCCTCTCCTATCACTTCTCACTGGTGCCCCGCCAGTATATACCGATAGTGCAGGCGGGGTTATCATAGCATTTTCACCCATTAAAAAAATAGTAATTTGTGAATTTGTGTATTTATTTTAATATATATAATAAGGAGTAAGATTTTTTTGTTCAAACTTAGATTTAAGCATTTTTTAACAGTAGTTTTTCTCTTTTACTTACTAATAACATTGTATATTGTCTGCTTAATTATTGTGAGCATATTGTTGGTATGTCTTTTATAAATAAATAAATAAAAAAAGTAGTTACAATTTAATGGAAAATATATAAGCCCGACAACAGATGGACCAAAAATTTTATTTTTATACATGTATCTCATAAAACAATATCAATTAGTACTAAGATTCTTATAATATTAATCTTTTCCAATGAAAAAATTATAGTCAATAATTTTTTTTTATACAACAGAATGGCAAGCAAGCTGACGGCCCACCTGATGGAAAGTGGTAACCGTCGCCTATAGACATGAGCAGTACCATGCACATAACAGAGTACGAGTATACTGTTTCGCCCATGATACCCTCCCATGCGTTGACATTCCTGAGGACTCAGGTGTTATTTCTCTGTACCCAGTAAATTCACGAATATTAAAGAGTCCCGTGAAAATACCGAATAAGTGTTTAAATAATATTTGTTTATTAAAATTTAATAATACAAGAAAAAATGTTTAAAAACTATATACATAATTATAAAATGGAATTACATATATATATATATATATATATATATATATATATATATATATATATATATATAAAAACATACCTAAACATGTCAGATACAATCACGATGTACGTTACGTATTATTATTATTATATTTCAGCCGTTAACTGTCCACTGCTGAATATAAGCCTTCCCCATAAAGGGAGTTTTGCCAGTAGTTGCCACGCTTGGCAGGTGGATCGGCGACCGCAGTTAAGTTTTCAGAGATGTTTTAAGAGGGACGCTGCTGTCCATCCTTCATTTGTTCATTACGTCATTACGCATTCATTACGCTCTACAAATCACAAATCCGGCCCCACATGGAGTATTGCTGTCACTTATGGGCCGGAGCACCTAAATAAATAATAAGCTTGAACCTTTCGACTCGTTGCAACGACGAGCTATGAGAATTGTCGATGATCCCAGGCTCACAAGCGGTATCGAACCCTTAAGTCTTAGGAGAGATTTTGCCTCCCTCTGCGTGTTCTACCGCCTGTACAATGGATTGTGCTCAGAGGAATTGTTTAATATGATGCTCACAGCCACTTTCTACCATCGTACGGCTCGCCATCGACAGGGAGTTCATCCTCATGTCCTACAGCCTCAATGGTCGCGTACTGCGCGGTTTCGAAGATGTTTCCTCCTATGAACACTCAGGTTGTAGAATGAGCTCCCTGCCGAGGTTTTCCCAAGAGACTACATGCACAAGCATGGGGTTCTTCAAAAGGAGGGTAAAGAGGTTTCTTCAGGGTCGGCAACGCGTGCGTAATACCTCTAGTATTGCAGGTGTTCATAGGCTACGGTAACCACTTACCATAAGGTGGGCCGTATGCTTGTTTGCCACCTCAGTGGTATAAAAAAAAACGTATATCATGCGGTAATATATAAAAACAAAAGCATCAAGAGAAACAGTCCTTGCATAGGTGTGTAATAGTCAGCATACAAACATAACATGTCTTTTGTTTTTTTTTTTTTATTTGTGCTTTTTTATTTTCATTCTTTTATCTCTTTTACTGTGTATTATGTGTATGTTTTTTTTATTGTAATTTGTGTGCTGTAAGTAATGTAAATAAATTATCTATCTATCTATCTATAAATAAAAAGTGAAAGAGAAAAAAGACAGGTAGGTAAATTTAAAAAAAAGGTTAATAAGTAAAACTTTGAGAACCATACAGGTATATTAGAAACAAGAAAAGATGATATTAAATTATTACATTTAGTTGCTAAAGTAGTACACAGCTTAATATTTGAGCAGTTGCTGATTACGGCCACAGTGATATTTTTTTTTAATGGATGACAGTGAAATGGTAACTCGCCTGCGCTAACGGTATACGCTGGCAGAGCACCAGTGAGGGATGATAGGTGAGAATGAAAAGGCAGGTCATTTAGCCCATTGTGATTAATACACCTGGAATTTAGCACGATGGTTTCGAGGGGGAACCGCGGGGAGGTCGACCTGACTGGGTATATTGCTAGCAGTGCGACTAATTTTGTATTGTTAATTTGCATTGTTAACAACCCCCTTCCTCCCCGCCACAGGGATATTAGAGGACGTCCATTTTATGAGGGTTCGTTAAAAAACTCACCTATCCTCTCATGGACCTCTCTTTCCACTTGACGAGAGGGTTATTGGTATAAATTTTCATGTGCAATTTTCATTAATCCCTTCATCCGTATATAAATGAGATTTAGTGTGCATTTTAATCCCTTGTATTTATTTATCAATTTTTTATGTTTATTTTTTTATATAACTTAGAATGGCAAACAAGCTGACGGCCCACCTGATGGAAAGTGGTAACCGTCGCCTATAGACATGAGCAGTACCATGGACATAATAGAGTATACTGTTTCGCCCATGCGTTGCCATTCCTGAGGACTCAGATGTTATTCCTCTGTATCCAGTAAATTCACGCAATATCCCACCCTTCAAATCGAAACACAGTCATGCAAACACAACTGTTGAAAACTTCACGGTTGAAACATGATGAATGGGACAGAGGTACCCAAGCAATCGACTTTTGTACAAAGTCTCCCTCTGGTATTATTTATTTTACATTTTATTACACCAAGTAAAAGAATAATTAATACACTAAATATTAATGAGAAGTGATACAAAAGGTGGCCTTATCGCTAAGCAATCTCTTCCAGACAACCTTTGGGTAGAGGACATTGAGAAAAAGACAAAAGGTAGGTGGCGCACTATTATATATATATATATATATATATATAAATCAGTAAAAAAAATTACACATGCTGTTAAAACACACAATTAAAACAAATAAAATAAAACCTCACATACAATTAAAGGTGAATAAATTCATTGTGCATTTAAATGGATTGCAGCAGTGTTTCCCAACCTTTTTTGTGCCATGCCCCACTTGAACATTTCTAAAATTTTTATGCCTCCATACATAATTTTTCCCGACAAAGTTTATTTGACGACTCTAATCGCCCAGTTGATATTTTTGACTTTATAAAACGAAATTATACATAATAAATATTAACAGCATCTTTTTATTTACTTTTTTTTGTTAATTTTGGCACCGATATCTACTTGTGGCATTGCATTTAAATATTCCGGAGCAAGAGGGTTAAAATCACTTCGAGTCCATGTTTAATTGCCCCCCCCCCCTTTACTATCAAATTGCCCCCCTGTGGGGCATGGGCCCCACGTTCGGAAACACCGGATTGCAGTGTTTATAGACACACACAGTGCATGCTATACTATATCTCGCCAGCTTACGTGTGAGCGCGTCTCTCAGCGCGGTGGCAAGCGATGCGAGCGTATTCCTCAATGGCGCGTGGTATCGCTCCAACATACTCAGATCTAGGCAATATCAATTTAAGGTTGAGTTCCGACAGTGCGACATACATTCGTTACTACATACATTAATATATTTAGTTTTCGGTAAATGTAAATATATTGATATAACCATAATAAATAATCTTATTCTTATGATGTTATATAACATGACGAGTACACAACTTGATAGGCATAGGTAATATTGATAACAATCCAATATATATATATATATATATATATATTGGACATCGATGACAGAAGAAAGGTCATCACCCAATTTGATATCGCCCATATTGGTTGAATATCCATTTTCTAATATGTTAAATGTCTGTTAAATACATAATATATTTTTTTAAATAATTGACTTTTTACATATTCATTGTTGAACCAGTATATATTATAACTAGTAGATATTATGACTGAAATATAAATATAAACTATACTTATTACCCACACCTACAACTTGCGTTATTGTAAAATACAATAGTCTTATTGTATTTATGCTTTTTTATTTTAAGTCTAATATAATATATTATATTTATGTTAAGCAAACACATTTGTTCATCATCAATTTCCCAATTTGTGTAGGTAATAATTTCATAAGTAGACAATAACTCATGATTTCATGACGGATTAGCAATGATAGAGGGGAAAAAGATTATTTCAATTGGAAAAAGTAATCTATTAATCAATATCAAACTAATATTACTAGACGATTAATAGAAAATAGAAATACTCATGTATATGTGAGAATGCGTCGTTGAAACCTGTGTTGTTATAATTAAGGAAAAATACATACATACTTTATATCATCATATCATATATCTATATCATATTTGTAGTATCATGGTATATAATTAATATATTATCAGGTTACACTCTGAGTTTGTTGTACGCGTCCGTGTAGCCTAACTTCAGGCTGCAGCTGAAAATCAGTGCTTTGCTTTTAAGCAAAACCATCACTGAGCTGCAGCTTATTTGGGTCACTGCGACCACACATGGCGAAACCATATTTTCATATTTTATCTTTTGTTGTATATTTTGAGAAGTGTAAATAATTTGTTTGTATAAACTCATTTGTAAATTTACGTGTGTCATAAATGGTTCAAATAAAAAGTTTATCTATCTGTCTATCTATATATATTATAATTAAAATATATATATATATATATATATATATATATATATATATATATATATATTATTATTACTTTTATTATTATAAACATTTATCTGAAATAATCGCAAATCGCGCTGTCAGAACTCAACATTTATATCGCTGTTGCTAAACTTTGAATGCAACTGTCTAGTAACATAATATTCACATCGGTTAGATCGTATTATGTTAGTTTTGCAAGTATTATTTCACTACAATCCCACCAGTTTTTTCACCACTACTAGGTCAGTTACAGAGGCCTTGGTGGTTCATTTCAAAGTGAAAGTAAAAGGCGAGATTACGTGGTAATTACACAATCATATAGTTCTTTTGATCCTGAAGGACCTAGATGCAGTAGCGTCTAATTTATACATGATGTGAAATTAATTTCACTACATTAATTGCAAGCAACAGTTTCACATGGCGATCTCTAATTTTATAATCCTTGCATTAGTTTCATGAAATTATGGGCGATTTTTTTTTAAAAAAAAAATAGTGTCATATAAGATAATGATCTGACATTTTAAAATAATTTAATCATGAATGAAACTATAATATGAATAATATTGGTGAATTATTATTAATAGTCATGGTATAGTGAGGCAAAGAAAATTTATCATTATTTATTTAGTATCGAAATTTTTTTATTTTAAAATATGGAATTATATTTGATTTTGTATTATTAACACGTTGTTTACGTGCGATACACATATTTATTAATGTTGCTTTTTTTTTAATTCAAGAGACAGAGCGAAATTTCAGTCACAAAATTTATTTATATCACAAATATGTCACAAAATAAATAATTTTATGTAAATAATTAATCCTAATTCCATGAAATTCTGAAGGTAAATAACCTTCAGAATTTAATGGAATTAGGATTTAAAAAAAAAATAAGAGGTTTAAAAAAATACAAAGTGGACTAATAAACTCACACATAAATAAGAACTTAACAATTTGATGGTGTGTAAAATTCATTTCATCCAAAATACCTTGTTCTTGGAGGTTCTTGAATATTATTACTAGCTATATAGTAAATGATAAAAGCTTTATAAATAATAAACAACTTATTAACAATATAATACATAATTACTCACAAGCTGGATGATCGTACAGCGGGGCGACGCTGGTGCCCTCTAACGGTCCGCCGGCCAGCTTCGCTGATAGCGTCTCCAGGAATTCCCTTACGCTCCGCAACTCCTGGCCTTCTCCCGAACCCGGACTATCTCGCTCTTCATATTCTTCATCTGTAATAGAAAGGTTACAAATATTTATACCACAAAAGTGGCAAACAAGCATACAACATATGTCTCTAGGGAAACCTTCTTCAGGGAGCTTATTCCACAGTATAAGCGTAATTGAGAGGAAAGACTTTGTATAAAAGACCAGAGAGAGACTTTGTACAAAAGTCGATTGCTTGGGTACCTCTGTCCCATTCGTGTTTTAACCCTGAAGCAGTCGTGTTTGCATGGCTGTGTTTCGGTTTGAAGGGTGGGATATGGCGTAAATTTACTGGGTACAGAGGAATAACACCTGAGTCCTCAGGAATGGCAACGCATGGGAGGTATCATGGGCGAAACAGTATACTCTGTTATGTACATGGTACTGCTCATGTCTATAGGCGACGGTTACCACTTTTCATCAGGTGGGCCGTCAGCTTGTTTGCCATTCTAAGTTGTATAAAAAATATTTAACCTATTTACATACATATTTTGTTTACAGTGTTTTTCTCTGCAAAAAAGGCATTTTTAGTCGTCACAAAATTAAATTTGGACCAACACGGGAAGAACTCGTAATTGCAAAAAGAATTGTAAAATTTCGTGCAAAATTGGCAATGTGGTCGCGCCACATACACAAAAAAAAAATTGGGACCAGACGTATTGAGATCCTGTTTCTTCTGGAAGTCTTTTAAAAAGATGTAATGCAGGACTAACCGATCTGCTCCAGCTTGTCCGTGCTGAGGGTCCACGGCATGAGGCTGGCTGCTCGCTGAATCTGCCGGAGGAACCACGCGCCCGACTCGAATTTCTGCGGCCTGAAATTAAGCAGAAAATCTTTTTAGAATATTTTGTTTTTATACCACTGAGGTGGCAAACAAGCATACGGACCACCTGATGGTAAGCGGTTACTGTAGCCTATGAACGCCTGCAATACCAGAGATATTACGCGCGCGTTGCCGACTCTAAAGAAACATTTTTACTCCCCTTTTGAAGAACCCCATGCTGTAGTCTCTTGGGAAAACCTCGGCAGGGAGCTCATTCCACAACCTGAGTGTTCGTGGGAGGAAACATCTCTCAAACCGCGCAGTACGCGACCATTGAAGCTGTAGGATTTTTTATATATAGCTACCATTCTGTTATTTGAAAATGTGTTTATTTTATCAATGTCTATATATATGTATAACGGGAAATTCTAACGAGACGCTGTGTGGCGAAAAGCCTTACGTCACCTGAAGAAGACTTCCGGACATAGTAAGTTTATAAAGTTACTCTATGTATATATATTGTATTGTATTCTACCAGCCGTTAACTGTCCATTGCTGGTACACTGACACTGTTTTGCCAGTAGTTGCCACGCTTGGCAGGCAGGTTGGCAAACGCAGTTTGGCTTTTGGTGATGTTTTAAGAGGGACACTGCTACCCATTCTTCGATCATAAGCTCAGTCGCGTCTTACGACACCTACGGAGATGAAAGGGGGTGGGCCGTGTAGGCCACACGGCCATGTATATAATACAGACATAGCTACAAATTTTTTTTTTGTTGCTATATTATTTTTATATACAGTATTAATATCTATAGCCAACGATTACCACCTTCCATCAGGTAGACAATCAGCTTGTTTGCCATTCCAAGTTGCGTAAAAAAAAAATTAAGTAGGAACAACTCTCTCGTCTGTTCCTGCCGTGGAGTAGCAATGCATGTGTTGTTGTACTGTCTAAAAGATAGTATAGCTAAATATGCAAATTTCTGTTAAAGAAGAGACATCTTTATTTTTATGAACGGCAACAAACAATTTTTTTTATACAATCTAAAATGGCAAACAAGCTGACGGCCCACCTGATGGAAAGTGGTAACCGTCGTCTATAGACATGAGCAGTACCATGGACATAACAGAGTTCGCCTATGATACCTCCAATGCGTTGTCATTCCTGAGGACTCGGGTGTTATTCCTCTGTACCCAGTAAATTCACGCCATATCCCACCCTTCAAACCGAAACACAGCCATGCAAACACAACTGTTTTACGGTTAAAACACGAATGGGACAGAGGTACCCAAGGAATCGACTTTTGTACAAAATCTCCCTCTGGTGATATATATCTAATACTATGTTGTACTTGTGTTGATAAGCTTTGCCCAAAACACAATGGTGATTACCTATTTACTATTAGATTTTCGTATTACTGTTAACCCCGTATAGTGTTACGTACTGGTGTGGTTGACAGATGCAGGGTACGATACTGCCGCGCTTGTCACCGCCGCACCTACGACACACGCCGTCGTCCGCGCCCGCCACGCATCGCCTCCGCTCCTCGGGCTCTGATCTGAAATGATACCAATCACTTTTATTGTGTATAGGGAATAAAGCCTGTCTCACTTCGAGAAATAAGTTTGTATTAAAATCTATGTAACCAGTTATTTGAATTTAGAATATTATATTATAATGTAATTAGGTCTTTCATGATACCTTTCGATAATCCGGGTGTCCGTATATAAAAGCTTCAAATTATTCAGCGAACTATGGAGAGGACTATGCTCGGAGTTCTTGTGACGGTAACCAAAGTTACCGTCATAGCCCGAAGGATAAGCAAGCTGAACTGGCAATGGCCTGGCCATATAGATCGAAGAACCAACAACCAATGGGGTAAAGAAAGATTCTTGAGTGGCGACATTACACGGGCAAACGCAGTGAAGGACGACTCCTATTAGATAGAGTATCAACCTTAAATGTATTGCAGGAAGACAGTGGATGCAAGTGACTCAGAACCGTTCCTCATGGCAGTTTATGCCCACTGCGGAACATAGGCCTCCTCCTATGTTCAACAGTGGACGAATAATGACAGAGATGGTGATGATGATGAAGACCATAAAAGTAATAGTGGTATTCACTAAATGTGTATATATATATATATATTTGAGAACACAAGAATAAGGTACTTTTTCCGATTCAACAATATTATATCGGTCAAGTGCATAGACACTGGTAAAAGTAGGTATATAAGTAGGTATAAGTAATATATTTTAAATACATTTTGTTATTTATAACAATAGTTTCTCAAATATTTCATTTAATAATAATATATATTATTCTTTCTAAAAATACTTTCTGCTTCTTTTAGTTGCTTAATGTTATATGTTTGAGTCGATTTTGGTAGTAAAAAAGTCAAGGGTGCATTTCTCTTGCTCGTTCTATTTGTGTAGTAAGGCGCTTGGCACAAGTATTACAACTTAGTTGTCCAACTCATACATACATATATACATACATATACATATCTGTCACGCCTGTCTCCCATTTGGGTAGGCAGAAACAATGGAACCTCAAATGCTTCGATTCAAACAATTCAATGATGTGACAAATAACTTTGACAGATCCACATAATTTTGAGAAACTCTGCTGTGTGCTATAATTTATTAAACTGTCGGGATTACGTATCAATCCGATGCCATTTTGAAATATGATAGTTAGTGAGACGCAATAATAATAACAATGAAATCAGCATCGCTCACTCCGCGGACAGAGGTCGTTAGTGTCGCAGATTTAATTAAATTATTCGCAAAATGTTATGAAGACAATAACTGAATGTATTGATAAATTGTATTAACTTAGAGTGACCTATTATTATCATGTGATTGTACATTTTTTTTCATATTATGTGAAAATGGAATGATAACCCCGCCTGCGCTATCGACTGGCGGGGCACCAGTGAGTGATGGTAGGTGGGGATGAATGCAGTTCAGTTTTTTAATGGGTAATAATGGTATGGTAACCCCGAGTGTGCTGTCGGTATACACTGATGCCCCACCAGTGATAGATGACTGATGAGGATGAAAGCAGGTCAGTTAGCCCATCCTGACGAATTCAACTAAAATTAGGTACTTACAATGGTCTCCAGGGGGAACTACGTGGAGATCGATCTGACAGGGTATATAGCAATATATGGATAATAATAGCAATAATGGAGTCAAATAGTCCCATTACTAGCAAGTAATGGGACTATTTGATTCCATTACTAACGATCCCCTTCCCCCTAATGCGGGCCAGTTGGCTTATTATGATGAAATTGTCAGGAATTAGTTAATTCCTGTCTTTTCCTGGAAAACATATTAAAATGTGTTTTCCAGGGGGAATCACACGGAGATCAACTTGATATATTGCTAGGAATGGGGTCTATGAGGCACATTACTAACAATCCCTTTTCCAAGTGCAGGTTGTACCAAGAACGTAAACAGATATTGGCTAATGAAGTACTTCTAGACTATGTGCAGAGGAATTGATTGTTAATAGAACAGATTTTAGAATATTTATTGCTAGAAAAACACAATTTCAACAGAAAATACATATATAAGAAGTGTCTCGTATTAGGCAAAAGGAACTGGCTCAGCTAACGCTGTGAGTGTCCCAGTGCAATGTGCACAGCTGCACAGCGCTGGTTTCCAGCCAGTCCCTCTCAGTCAGTCAGCGCAGACGGGGTTACCATTCAATTACCAACCATTACAAAAACAAAAACATAAAAATGAACTGAAGGTAGAGCTTCTATTTCCTAATTTCTATTTTGGCCGTCGGATTGTAAGTGGTAGCGAATAAGGAAACGAGGAAGGCACGAAGGTCTCACTCTTTGTGGTATTAGTACTCGTATGTACATTTTATTTTTAATCGACTTTAAAAGGTTTATAATTTGATTGTTTTTTTTTTCTATTTGTTATTTCATAACTCTTTAAGTTGTCAATCGATTTGTAAAATTCTTTTTTTATTTTAAAAGATAAAATCTTTTTTTATATCGGATTTTTTATCTTTAAAGATCTTAAAGGATTAGTGTATTATAATTTTTTTTAAATCAGTTTACAAATCACATTAATTTATGTGTCCATATGGCCTTAAGCTTGGTAGGGAGGAGTGAGATGTTTTTGTTTAAGTAAACTTAGATTTAAGCATTTTTGAATAGTAGTTTTTCACTTTTTACTTACTTATATTATTGTATATTGTCTGCTTAATTGTTTTGAGCATATTGTTGGTGTGTCTTTTATAAATAAATAAATTAGATTTTAAATCAAAATAACTAGTTTTACCATAATTGAAGGTGGTTTTTTTTGAAATGCATTTTTGTTGAATAAATCCATTGATAGCAAACACGATTGATCCCATTGAGGATCTAATCATTTAACATAGGAGGAGGGGGGGGGGGGGAGGAGATATAGTTCGTAATGCGGACTACCAGTCGCATTGCTAGCAATATGCCCCATAAGGTCGACCTCCACGTGGTCCCCCCTGGAAACCATCGTGCTGAATTCCTGGTGTATTCATCACGATGGGCTAACTGACCTGCTTTTTCATTCTCACCTATCACCCCTCATTAGTGCCCCGCCAGTGTATACCGTTAGCGCAGGCGGGGTTACCCTTCCATTATCATTAATAAAAAAAATCATTTAACATACAAAATAATCGTATTGCAAGGCGTCCGCATGCAATCCTCAGAACCTGTCGCCTGCACATGAAACTTGACACCAATGCAAGTTGCCTAACTCGATCGATACACTTTTATGAGCAAAAACTGGCTTCGACTGTCACTTTTGTAATACTCAATGTACGATTCTACATAAATATGTTACGACTAGTTTTTACCCGTGACTTTGTTTGCGTGACAGGGATATAGTAATTGACTGGAATAATTAGAAGCCGAAAGATTGTACGTGTATTTTAAATTTAATGACAGTTTATTGACAATATTATTTAGTGACCAGAGGGAGACTTTGTACAAAAGTCATTTGCTTAGACATCTCTGTCCTATCCGTGTTTCTACCTGAAGTAGTTGTGTTTACATTATAGTTAGACATGAGATAGGGACATGACAGAGTATACTGTTTCGCCCATGATACCCCCCATTCGTTGCCATTCCTGAGGACTTAGGTGTTATTCCTCTGTACCCTGTAAATTCACTGCCATATCCCACCTTTCAGACCGAAACACAGCTGTGCAAACATAACTGTTTCACGGTGGAAACACGAATGGGACAGAGGTAGTGTAGGTGTAACTGTAGGAAAGGGTAACTGTACTGTAATGTAACTCGTATATTTTGATTGGTAACTAAATAGAATGTGATGCATTATTATGCATTGTTTAACAATTCAAATACACTATACACATGCTTACTTCCTTTCCTACATATATTAATGTAATTTACATACTTAATATTATTATGCACTTACTATTATATGTGTTGTATATGTGTATATATTCTTTTGTTTTTATACAACTTAGAATGGCAAACAAGCTGACGGCCCACCTGATGGAAAGTGGTAACCGTCGCCTATAGACATGAGCAGTACCATGGATATAACAGAGTATACTGTTCGCCCATGATACCCCCCATGCGTTGCCATTCCTGAGAACTCAGATGTTATTCCTCTGTACCCTGTAAATTCACCCCATATCTCACCCTTCAAACTGAAAGACAGCCATGCAAACATAACTGCTTCACGGTAGAAACACGAATGGGATAGAGGTACCCAAGCAATCGACTTTTGTACAAAGTCTCCCTCTATATATTATTATTTATTGTTTTTGTACATATTATCATCTTCCTATCCTTATTCCAATAATTATTTGTGGTCGGCATCATATGTTTTTTATCCATATTACAAAAAGATTTGGCTTATAGTTTTACGACCGGCCGCCTGCCTGACGTCAACTTTCTATGTTTTTGTACATACATATGTATATACACTAGATTATCCGCTAATCTTCTTCTAACTGCATTGGGTTGTTTAAAGAGATCTATCTGTTTTAGAGATAAGTTCATCCTTGCTAACAAGTTATGAAACTATATCTTTTTTGTCAAGTGCAGTATATATGATATATATATATATATATATATATATATATATATATATATATATATATATATATATATATATATATATATATATATATATATATATATATATATATATATATATATATATATATATATATATATACTTTTTAATTATATGAAGACATTTCCTACATATGTATATGCTTCTAATGTATCGCGTATTATTACAATAGTACTTAGGTACGCCTATTATGTAAACCTTTTGTAAGCGATTCTAAAAAATGAGGCTCACAATTATGAATTTCTTGTGACTGCGTTACGCGAAAAGACCGCCATTTGTAAAGCAATTTTCATAATTCTATGTAGTCGGTGTATACCTACCTATGCGCTGGTCACTTAGCTCGAAGAACCGACAACCGACGGGGAGAGAAAGGTTATTGAGTTGCGACCCCGTACGGGCAAACGCAGTGCAGGACGAGACCCACTAGATAGAGTGATGACCTCAAATGACCCATTCGTGTTTCAACCGTGAAGCAGTTGTGTTTGCATAGCTGTGTTTCGGTTTGAAGGGTGGGATATGGCGTGAATTTACAGGGTACAGAGGAATAACATCTGAGTCCTCAGGAATGGCAACGCATGGGGGTATCATGGGCGAAACAGTATACTCTGTTATGTTCATGGTACTGCTCATGTTTATAGGCGACGGTTACCACTTTCCATCAGGTGGACCGTCAGCTTGTCTGCCATTTTAAGTTGTATAAAAAAAAATGCATTGCAGGGAGTCAGTGGATGCAGGTGGCTCAGGACCGTTCCTTATAGCAGCCTATGGTTCAGGTTTATGTCCAGCAGTAGACGGTTAATGGCCGAAATGATGATCAAGATGATGATGACGATGATGGTATCTATCTAATCTTGTATTGGTAACGTATTAATTATCCGAGGATTGAAACTACTCGGTTTCCTTTGTGGAGCAAAATACTAATTGTTGCAAAGCAAAATCTTCGTGTAGTACATGACTCTATGTTTTAAATTAACAAATATTTTTAATATAATTATTTATTTATTCTTTATTGCACAATAAAATTTCGTACAAATGGCGAGCTTAATGCCATATGGCATTCTCTACCAGCTAACCATTGGGTAAAAACAGAAAGCGTATGAAGGGCAGATGTGGTGAAGAATATGTGACAATTATAGTAACACATTAAGGCAATACACAATATAAATATAATATACACATAAGAAATGCACATATAATACATAAACATTACTTTTAATATATATGGATAAACTAATACATATGAAATATGTACATATATATATATATATATATATATATATATATATATATATATATATATATATATATATATATATATGTGCAATTAATATCTATTAATATTTCGTCATTGCCTTTCTTTTCCCGTCGTCGTCGTGAGAGTCGACTAAGGGAACTTAATGATCGGAGAATGGGCAGCAGTTCTTAAAACATCACCAAAAGCCTAACTGCGGTTGCCAATCCGTCTGGCAAGCGTGACAACTACTAACAGAACCCCCCTTATTGGGGAGGCTTATGTTCAGTAGAGAACAGTTAACGTCATTTATTGATGTGTGTGTGTGTGTGTGTGTGTTTATAACACACACCTTGATATACAGTTTGCAGAAGCAAAATGAATTTATAAAATATCTACATCACAAAAAAAAAGATTCTCAATTCAAATCACAGAAAAAACAAATGTTTTGTTTCACGGAATTAAAACGGTTTGTTGCTCGTTTGATTTTTTTAATGAAACATACATTTTGCAACTGATTTCGTAGTTAAATATGACATAAAACAGTTTAACGAAATCGTTGATACCGAGGGGCCATGGGTTTAGCAATAGTGTATAGATTTCATAACACTGGTTTCATATGTTATGGTCTATTTAAAATAGTGTAGTGAAATTTGTTTACATTAGGAAATAAGTTGCATTCACCATGAACAAGACTAGTTAGGGATAAGCTTTTTTAATATATGATAATGGTATGGTAACCCCACCCGCGCTATCGGTATACACCGGTGGGGTACCAGTGAAGGATGTTAGGTGAGAACGAAGTAGGTCAGTTAGCCCATAAATGGCAAACAAGCTGACGGCCCACCTGATGGAAAGTGGTAACCGTCGCTTATAAACATGAGTAGTACCATAGACATAACAGAGTATACTGTTTCGCCCATGATACCCCCCATGCGTTGCCATTCCTGAGGACTCAGGTGTTATTCCTCTGCACCCAGTAAATTCACGCCATATCCCACCCTTCAAACCGAAACACAGCGATGCAAACACAACTGCTTCACGGTAGAAACACGAATGGGACAGAGGTACCCAAGCAATCGACTCTTGTACTGAAATGAAATTCTGAAATTTCGGACTCCATTTCGTGTTTTTGTTTATACCAAAATCGGACCAATAAATAGAGTTTAACATTTCGTTTGTCATACATTCTATCATAAAAGTCCAAAAAAACATTTTTAATATTTTCAAACCGCTTGTATTATGTAATTTTAACATCAAATTTGTGTTTTGCTTGGCTCCGAAATTTCGGAAAACATTTCATAGTAGGTCCTCGGTTTATTACAACCTATATTTGTTTTACTTCATTGTGAAGTATTGTTATTGTTACATACGCACATTAAATGTTTAATTAATTCAAATTAAGCTCTTAATTGTATTTTAAATAAATTTTATTTACCAAGAGACATTTTTAAATTGCAAATTACATCTTTTATACGAAATTCTGTGGCGTACATGGGTATTCAACATTACTAGTGACCGTGAGTTATTTTTGTGCCGGAAAGAAGAAAAACATATATTCGTAAAATTTTTATGTGGCATGAATATACAATGGTATCATTAAGCTCTTAGTGTTATATGTCCAGCATTGGACTTAAATTATCACTTGATGATATACTATGCGTTAATATAGTTTATTTTCTCGTGTTTAATTGTTTGTACGTATATAGGTATATTGTTTATCAAGAGAATAAAATGCCCGAATACCAAAGATAAAGAAAACAACCATTTTCTATGCCACTTACTATTGAGAATTTGAATTTAGAACCAATATTTTCAATCAATATCACAGAGTTTTGGCGCGAAATTATTTATGTTATGGCAAAGCTGAGTGAAACAGATAAAGTGTGTTCTTTTTTCAATACCTAATTATGTCACAATATTGCCTTTCAATGTATTAGTTTGATTCATAATCTAAAGTTTTATTTTATCTCCGTTTTGAAGGAAGAGAGTTACCAAGTAACTATGAAATAAGATGGCAAGGAAGTAAAAATAGGTATATTATAGAGTAGTTTAAGATAAGTTTAACTGATCCCTGACAACCCTGGATATTAAAAAATAAAGCTTCACTTCGTACTCTTCGAAGATCTTTAATATCCACCCGACATTCTTTATAGATTTGTTGCTTATAACTAATTATGGTACACACTAGTCTTGTGGTGAAATAAAACTTATCACCATTAATTTATCACATCACTATCACTTATCACATCACTCCTCATCGGGGTCGAACCACATTGAGGTCACACTCGAGCCGCCCTGCTCCCTCGCCTGCTCCTCCGTGATGATCCTCAGAACGACCACTTCCATCATGCACAGCGCGAAAAATATCAGGAATATCGCGAAATTAGATCCCTGGTGGTGGAACTGGAACGAGTTGGACGACGGCCCCGGAGGCGGCCACGCTGCCACCCCTGAAGCGGCCAAACTCGATATCGTCATGACCGGTGATCACAAAACTTTGAGATTCATGATCGATATTCGATCATAGTCACATCACTAAGCCGAATCGATTATTTGTAAATCGAACGTGTAGTGTTGTCGGAAGGCGCGACATTAATGTTATCGGGCCGACGGCCGTGCGGCGGTGCATTGCTTGCAGCAATCCGCGACTTATGAAATATAATTCGTTTGAGTTAGAATCCACTCGTTGGGAAACGCTCGCAATGCGGGTGAACGCAACAGTTTTGAGGTCAAGGTGGCGGCGGCACTGGTCCAGTATGTGGCGACCTTTACGCTGATACATTTTGGGTGTATTGTAATTATGTGATGCCGCAAATATGGAATACTAGTTGTGATGCTCATATTGTTTTGTTTATTATTATTATTTTACTTATTTAGCTTATTTACTGTGTTGCGGTGTACCCGTAAGGAGTAACCTTATTAATATTATAGATTTTCGAAATACGTTTGTGTCGTTTGTTCATAACATAGATTTAGTATAATGTACTAAGTTCATACATAATGTTTAAACGTTGCACATGCTAATCTGATGTAACAGAAATAAATAGATACTGATCCCAAAAACAAAAAAAAAAAAACGAAACACGACTGTAATACTGTGTATTACTGACAATTTTTTTTTATTTAAAAACTAAACTAAAATATGTATATAAAATATCACAATTCTTTGCTTTGATAGATAATGTAATTAATACAAACTTTTTTGCAATAAATAATAAATAAATGAATAACTAAATATATAATGTGTTAAAATATATAAAAATAAAAATTCTAAAAATATTTAACCAAACTAAATATAAATAACACTTTTAAGTTTTCTTATACATTTTTTATTTTAAATTAATTTCTTTGAAGGTTTCAGGTTTCTAATAAGAATACAAATAAAATATAACCAATTTTCAAGTAAAAACATTACAAATATATATCAATGTATAATAACCTTATTTATTAAAGTTTAAAAAAAATTCCTGTAAATTATTAATGTCAAAATAGAGTAAAAATGACAGTATATACTGTAATTACATAGATGAACAAAAACAAGTTCAACAACTATTTTCGTGTAATGCTATGTTTATTCGTATAGTTTACAAAGACTCCCCGGAGTTATCCTCGTTCCGGCGTACATCAACAGATGTTGATATTTCTTTGGAAAAGATCCTGCTTGTAAACCCCAATTGTCCAATCAGGATCATGTTGGAATACATAAGGAGGGAGTGCAAATTGGGAATATATGCGAATTTCGATCTTTGCAGTGAAAGTGGAGGACTTATGGGCTTGTTCGATCTACCCACATATGCATATGCGACAGAGAAATTCGAGCACAAGAAGATTTATTATCTTATTGTTATAAAACAGGTAGGTTTTTTTTATACAACTTAGAATGCCAAACAAGTTGACGGCCCGCCTGACGGAAAGTGATAACCGTTGCCTATAGACATGAGCAGTACCATGGACATAATAGAGTATACTGTTTCGCCCATGATACCCCCATGCGTTGACATTCCTGAGGACTTAGGTGTTATTCCTCTGTACCTTGTAAATTCACGCCACTCTTCAAACCGAAACAGCCATGCAAACACAACTGCTTCACGGTAGAAACACGAATGGGACAGAGGTACATATATATATATATATATATATATATATAAAGTATAAAAAAAATATATATATACGTTGAAGTCAAAACTCTTAACCAGTCAAAACTACTTTTGACTTTTACTTTATATATATATATATATATATATATATATATATATATACTTTATATATATATATATATATATATATATATATATATATATATGTATATATATGTATATATATATATATATAAAGTAAAAGTCAAAAGTAGTTTTGACTGGTTAAGAGTTTTGACTTCAACGTATATATATATTTTTTTTACATACTATATTTTAAACAGGAAACGTACACCCAGACCAATAAATCATTCTTCACTGGTCTTCACCAGCATATACCGATAGCACAGGCGGGCAGCAGATAGCACATCCCCTCAAACGAGGATAATGATGACTCAATGATGATCGATTTAATAAAGATTATTAACTAGACGCTCTGTAATATATGGCCAATACGGTTTGTTTTTTATAGGAAAGTGACAAACGTGTCTCAGTGTTGCCGCAGCTGAATCACGAGAATAAGATGTATGTGGAACTGAAGTCGAGGGTGAAACGGTTTCTTCTTACTGGCGACACCAGTCTTCAGGTGTCTCCGCCTGGTAAGGTGACCCCACCAGGCAAGGCCACCCCTCCGCCGCACGCCAAAATAACAAAGAAGAAGTAGATTTGTAAAATATTAAAACATAATTATTATATGACACTCACATGTATTAAATACAAATACCAGAGGGAGATTTTGTACAAAAATCGTTTGCTTTTGCAACTCTGTTCCATTCGTGTTTCTACCGTGAAACAGTTGTGTTTGCATGGCAGTGTTTCGGTTTGAAGGGTGGGATATGGCAGTGAATTTACAGGGTACAGAGGAATAATTCCTGAGTCCTCAGGAATGGCAACGCCTCATGTATTGCATATCATAGGCGAAACAGTATATTCTGTTATGTCCATGGTACTGCTCATGTCTATAGGCGACGGTTACCATATATATAAGTTATAATATGGCTTCATATTAGTAGTTTTATTTTTTAATGTTAAAAAAAAATGTTAAAGTTGCATAAAAATAAATTAACCACCATAATCTGTGGTATGGTAATAGATTATGCGCCACCTGCCCTTTTCTATCTGTTCTCCTTTAACTAAAGGTTGTCTGTAAGAGATTGTCCTAGCGATAAGACCGCCTTTTGTACCTTTATGTGTATATTTCAATCTGTATTTATGTTACTGTATTTCACTTGAATTATTCACTTGTCATTGTATATTTTTATTTATGGTGCAATAAAGAGTTAAATAAATAAATAAATAAAGTAAAAACTTTTGGTAAGGCGTTCATAGACAGTATAGCGGTAATATTTTTTTTTATTAGCCGATCACTAAAGTTTTTTTTTTTTTAAATACAATAGTGTGACCGGACGAACGCAGCGGTAGTGCGCACTCCGGAAGTACGACGTTATGGTATGAATAATAAATTTTACTTTATAAATATTGTATGAAGTGTGATACGAAATAGATATAGGATCATTGACTGAGGATATTGAGTCATTAAGCAGTCTACGTGCCACCGAAGTGTACGGCATATTGAAAAGTTTTGAAACCCAGGAAACATACTGTGGTAGAGCTTCCTTAAATTTTACAAATAAAAATGTATAGTTCAATATGTTTCTAAACGTATAATTCGGCAATTTTTTTTTTTCAAATATCTGTTGGAGTCAACGCAAGATTCTTATGGAGAGAAAAAACTGTCTGGAAAAACTCAAAAAACCCAATTTTTATTTTTACTTCTGAGTGAGAAAGATAGGATCTGCTAATATAAAATATGGACCAGAAATTAAGGAATATTGAAATATTTAAGATCGGGACTTAGAGGGATCTTGCCTCCTTAGATATGTGGTAAACGAAACTGTCGACAGATACGTTATCGCTACTGTATGTATGAGTGTCTTTCTGTATGCTGCACTAAGTGTAACGTGAAATCTGTCAATAAATTTGTTTGCCACTTCTATCAATCTAGGTATATAGTCGGCGAGCGGTCAACATTAGTTTCCAAGTGTTTACTGATTAATCGCCTGATGGTGCCTCGTTTAGAAGCTAAACTCATGTCGTAATATGGGTGACGGTCAAAGATTGACAGCGGAAAGGGAAGGTCGTAACGCCTCTAACTAGTGACGGTCAGTTCTACGCATCAAATGTTCATACGCATACTAATAGTGAGCCCTTTTACACTTTATCGTAACACGGTACGATAATGGAATGCATTCGAAAGATCTATTTCTTTATATATTATTTTTTTATACCACGAAGGTGTCAAATAAGTATACAGCGCACTGATGGTATGGTTGTAGCCTATGGATGCCTGTAACACTAGGGGTGTCACGTGCGCGTTGCTGACCCTGAAAATACCTTAATATATCCTATTTAAAGAATCCCATACATATAGCTTCTAGGGAAAACCTCGGCAGGGAACCCATTTCATTGCCTGAGCATTCGCTGGAGAAAATACCTTTTAAACAGTACTGTACGTATTTTAATGTTTTAATTTGGTAATTTTGTAAAATTACTGTTTTATAAACCACCATAAATTAAATTTATAATAATTTCAACTTAAACCTATTAGAAATTAAGTTTATATTGTTCTTTACAATAAAAATTTCCTTGTGATATATCAAATTTAAATCATAGAACTAAATTGAGAGAAATGACGGTTTATATGCATGAGTTTTTAAACAATTATAGATTATAAGCACTCGACAGAATTTAAAGTTCATTTCTATAATTATAAATTTGTTTAAAAATAATTTCATATGATTTTATTGTACGATATCGTGGCATATCACGATAGGGAATAAAATGGCCACCTAATGGTGGCGAAATTGAATAAATAATAATCCAAAAGCCAACTATTTAATTTTCTTTATAATTAACTTTTTGCCCGTTTTTTTTTTAAATGGTTGATAATGGAATGGTAACCCCACCCGCGCTATCGGTATACACCGGCGCGGCACCAGTGAAGGATGATAGGTGAGGATGAAGTAGGTCAGTTAGCCCATCGTGACGAATTCAATAAGAATTGTTTACGATGGTTTTCAGGGGGAACCACGTGGAGGTCGACCTAATAAGGTATATTGCTAGCAATGAGGCTGTCAAACTCCATTGCCAACAATCCTTTTCCCCCCAACGTTACTTTTTGCCCGTTTCTTCGTATGTGGAATTTTGGATACTTCCAAAAGTTTTCCTACTGGAAAAGTAATGAAATAAGCTATTGTTAGATGGCATATCAAGATAAAAAATACACCAGTTTTTACATTAGACCTTTAAGAATACAACTGTGAAAACAGCATTTAATTACGTACAGCTATTTTTTGTATGATGCAGGACAAACATACAGGCAAAAAAAGTTGTAAAGTTATTGTTTTAACTTCTATTGTTATTATTAAAATCGCTCATATATTTTTGTTTTTAAATATATCCCATGTGTTTATTAAAATTTTTTTAATAAGATTATTTTTGTTACGTAAAAATAAAGGTATGTATGACGTATTAATGACAGGAATCGCGAGTGTAACTATCAAAATATTAAACGACGCGATGGATTCTAATTTGGCACAGCAACGGTCGGCCACTGGCGCAGTCAGCAGAGCATGTCGGGGCACGTCGCTCGCTGGCCCACTGATAACCGGCGGATTTGAGGATACCACGGTTGGAATACGAACGCCGTAATTGGGTGCTGACATCGTGAAATGAAAGGTTAAACGAGCGGTGATCATCGATTTCCAGTTATGTATTGTGTCAACTAGACATTATTGCTCAGAGAGATCGATACTGGCTGGAATATAATCATCTGGACCTATTGAAATGTTTTTTACGTTTTTTAAAAAAAGAAGT